GAGCCGAGAGCCCGGAGCGCCGGGGCCGAGTGGCGGGAGGCGCGGAGCTCGTTCCGACCGGCGGGACCCCGAAGTCGGGCCGGGCGGGCTGCCTCGCCAGCTTCTCCGGAGTCCTGCGGAGTTGGTTGGCTGGCCCTCCTCGGCGCTTCTCATCTCCGGCCTCGGGCAGTTGTGTCCGCAGGCTCCGCGTGGCCCTGAGCTGCTAGTCCCCTCGGTGTCTGGGCGCTCCGTTCCTCGTCTCCCCCACCTTCTGTGAGTTGACACCCTGTGGCCCGGGAGGTTTTCTGTTACAACAGCGCCGGCCGGGATGTAGTTCACTGACGCCACGCCTGCCTGGCAAGCGCAAGGTCCTGAGTTCGATTCCTAGTTCCACAAAACAAAACGGGGCCGTCAGTTTAATGCTAGTTCGGTGTATTGCGTGACTTAACCACCTTCGTGGTTGAGAATTCAAGACAAGTGTTAACGAACCTGGACGTTCCTGTTTTTAATGTTTCCCTCTGATGAGTTAAGCCCGAAAGTGGGTGTGCAGTTAGTACTCTTGCTCCTAGCTTCCTAGCGACTATGAAGTGGCACGGAGGTAGAGAGTAGCTTCTTAATGTATGCACTGTCTTTTGTTGCTACATAGCAAATTAGCGCAACCAACACTGAAAACAGCACAGATTAATCATGTCAAAGCTGAGTTTAGCTGGTAGTCTGCACAGGCTCTCAGAGCTGAACAGACTCTGCAGGTCCGGGCTCTGGGAGGGCGAGAATCCTACCTCGCGCTCTCGCCCTGTGGGCAGACTTCTTCCTGGCGCTTGCGGGACAAGGTCCTCCTCGTCCTCAGCCCCGGCTTTCAGCGAAGGCTACCTGCAAAGGCTACCTGCGTCTCAACATCATCAGTAGCATCTGTTCTCCCGAGTGGTGGAGTGATTAGATTGCATCTAGCTGGACAACATCTGCTAAGTAGATGATGATCACAGGAGTAGGGGTCGCATTGTATTCACAACTTCTGGGGAGTAGATGAAGGCCATTCTTAGAAATTCTGCCTGCCTTAATATGGCTGCTGCAAGCTGGATTTTTTTTTAAATTAGCATTATTTTTGTAATACATATTTTCAGTATATGCAGTTTACAGTCATCATGGGGAGTGGGTACATGTACACAATACAACTTGTTTTTTAATCCCTACCCCTCAATTCCGCATCCCGATTATCATTATTATTAATCTTAGCTAATGTCATGGCATATGGTGTTTATGTTCATTGAGATGATTGGGCTTCTATACATGGCATATCTCTATTGTACTTACCCCCCATTCTTTTTACCTTAGTCCAATTCCCTATTGCAGATCTATCCTCTGTCTCCTTCTATCCATTCTTTATTATTCTGTTTGTGCTCTACCTAGAATAAGAGATACCATATGGTGTTTAAATCAAGCTGGATTTTTTTTTTTTTTTTAGTACCGGGGATCGAACTTGGGTCCTTGCGCTTGCAAGGCAGGCGGCGGCACCACTGAGCTAAATCCCCAGCCCCAAGCTGGATTATTTTTGTAGTGTGCTTTCGGATGCTTTAAAAGTTGTGATGATGCCAGTTTTATGACTTTGTTCAAGATAAGGAAATTCAGTTAGTTGTCTATGGCCAAATGGCTAGAAGGTGGCTGAAGTCTGCATTTGGACCCAGATCTACACTTCCATTAAGTCCAAAGCCGTATTTATGGATGTTCAAGATGGAATGCATCCAGTGTCATTAGAAGGTATCAGAAGACGCTGGGGAGTGGTGAGATTGTCGTTGCATTTCTTTTCTTTCTTTCTTTCTTTTTGGTTTTTTGAGACAGGGTCTCACTATGTAGTTGAGACTGACCTGGAACTCACTATGTAGCCCAGGCTGGTCTCGAACTCACAGCAATCCTCCTGCTTCAGCCTCCTGAGTGCTGGGATTACAGGCGTGTGCCACCATGCCCGGCTCTACATTTCATTTTTGAATTGTCTGTATATTAGTGTTATAAACAGTTCTTTGTGACAAAAAAAGTCAATATACATTTGCATAAATAAAATAAAAATTGAGGGATTTTAGGTTTGCGGAGGTTTTTTTGCTTTGTTTTTACTGTTACTCAGGCTAACCTTGAATTTCTGACTTAAGCAGTGCTCCTACCTCAGCTCCTCAAGTAGCTGGGGTGACAGACGTGTGCCAGTACATGCAGCATATTTTTGGGGTTAAATATATCTGGAGTCCAGAGTAGTGTCACAATTCTAGTGTAAACAGATAGCTTCTGTAAGTGGGTCTCAGATGCTGTTCAGATGTTGACACTCCTGGGCCGTAGTGAGGAGAAGGAAGAGGCGGAGTGCATCCCTTTCCAAGCTGCATGATGGGGAGCCATCCGTACAGCACAAGGCCAGCTCTGGAGGGGTTAAGAAAAACAGAGCTGGGGGTTGGATGTCTCCCCACACCCTGGTTCTGATTAGGAAGGGAGAAAAAAGTTTTTAACTAAAAACCACCTCTGCCATGCCTTTGTTTTTGATACTGCTTAGTTTGGTAAACTGTGAGTACAATATTTAAAAGGAAACATCTATAAGGACAAGAAATTCTTATTCAATATTAACATTCATTTTTTTCAGTTATGTTAATGCATAATTTAATTTATAAATGCTTTTTGAGACATCTTGTATTTAGCATTCTTATACCTTATCCATATTTTGGGTTAGTTTGATTTTTTAGTGAAAATACATGAGTGGAAAATATTCACGTTTGCTTTGGAATACTTGAAATCATGCTGAGTAGACCTCTGTCCATCTGCATGGTTATATGTTCTGTAACCTGTCACTCTCCAGTTGTACAGCTCTTCTGTGCTTCTTCCCTTGGTCTCCTAAGTCCTCCGCAGGTCGTACTCCTTTCCTGCACGACACATCCCCCTTACCTGTCAAGTCTGTGGCACCATGTTGCCTTTTTGTGTAGGGTAAGAATATAGTCTTGACTGATGGTTTGAGTTCTGGGTACTTCCTCTTAAGCAAATCACAAAATCTGAGTTTGTTTCCTTCAAATGTGAAATGGCCAAGAATATCACCTTGGAGATGGAGGTAAAGGTGTGTTTTTGGTAACATACTGCAGTGCCTGAGCGTGGTCAGTGCTCAGTAAACAGTGACTGTGCTGGTTTCAGTGGTCACTCTGACTTCTAACACTTGGAGTCTACACTTTTTGTTTTGTTTTGTTTTCTTTATCTGAAAAATTTGTAAATTATGTAAGACCTGGGAAGGACCAAGTCTTGGCTGGTGAGTGATCCCTAAATGCTGGCTTAGTGTATTGAACCTAGTGTCTGCAAGAACATGTGTGTGAGATTGAAGTTGTGAGGGCTCTTTTTCCTTTAGTCTTCCTGTGCGGTATACCATGGAAAACCAGCTAGCTAAATCAACTGAAGAACGAACATTTCAGTACCAGGATTCTCTTCCATCACTGCCTGTTCCTTCACTTGAAGAATCCTTAAAAAAATACCTAGCATCAGGTATGTTCATAATTTTTAATACACCTTAATAATTTTAGCAGCTTGGGAAATATGACAATTTAAGTTGATGAAGGTCTAATTGCTGCTGCTTCTAGGCTAATGATAAAGTACCCAAAATACCTCCAACCTCTCACATGATTTCTTCCATTTTTTGAAAGCCAGGTGGTATTAATGGGTCTCCTGGAAAAGCGAGGTCCTTCAGATTATTTCTTATATTGTCTGTCCCCACGTTTAAAGTAAGTTTCTTATACTGTAATCTTTGGGTTTTTTACTTGTAAATACTATAAATTAATTCCTTGAAAAAGATATAGGGGCTGGGGATTTAGCTCAGTGGTTCTGCCGCCTGCCTTGCAAGCCCAGCCTTGCAAGCCCAGGGACCTGAGTTCCATCCCTGGTACCAAAAAAGAAAAAAAGAAAAGAAAAAGATGGGTTTAGCTCTCTTAAGTGTGCTAGCCCTCCTGTCCCCAGTGTATGTACAGCCTGACACACATTTCCTTCCCATTTTCTCAATAGAGTTGTACAAATCACCATTATGGGATTAAATTGTCAGTTGTAGGAATTCATTCTGGGTTTCACCTGATTTTAATCCACATTTATCTGACCCCTCAGGGTTTATGGTTCTACATTATTCACAAGCGAACATGCAATTTACCCCATTACCCTTTGTTGTTTCCCATTTTTCATTTGCTTAGTTTACTTTGTTTTCAGGAGTTTATTCCAAAACATTTCAGCACAGTGAATGTTCCTGAATGTGTTTAAGTACATAAACTCTTCTGTGTTTCACATCTTCGTGGAGTCTTCTTTGGCCTCCTCTCTCTCTTGCCCTGCTCAGGTTGTCCCTCCTTGAGCTCCTTGGTGCTTCTATCAAACACTTTGCTGTGCCACCATCTTGGCAGTTCTTGTCCCCTCTTGCCTGTGCTGGAGCCTCTGTTTCCATCAGTGCCGTCTTCTTCCTTGGTTTTCTTTTCTTGTTTTGCTTTATCTTCAGTACAACCTGAGAAAGGATAGTGGGGGAAAGAAAGTAAGAGCTAAAAAACATGTTTACCTGATTGTTTAGCTAAGTGTAGAATTCTGCATTGGAAATGAGTTTTCTTAAGCATTTTGTCTTTGTTTCTTGTTTTGTTTTTTTTTTCCTCTGAGGATCCAACTCAGGACCTTGCACTTGGAAGGCAGGCACAGTGATTCCCTGGCCCTTCTTAAGCATTTTGAAAGTGTTGTTTGTTCCCCATGAAATGTGGGATGCCACTTCGATTTTGAAGCAGCGCCTACACAGGTCTGGGATCCAGCCTTTAACACAGGGTCTTTGGCAAACACTGTTCTTATTTGACTCAGGCTGAGCCTTTGCCATTTCGATCTGTTTGTTCTTGGATGTCACCACTCTTTTTGTCTATTACGCTCTCTCACATATGAGGCATTCCTCAAATATCATTCGGTCTTCATGCTTTAATCTTCCAGAGTGAGAGCCTAAGAAGCTGACTGAGGACTCTGTGTGCCAGGTTGGACTTGACCAGCAGACAGGCTGACCCCACCAGGGAACACCCACATCCTGATGCTCTTTTCTCTGGCACTAATCAGTTTTCCCAGAAAGGAATCCTCTTATTTCCGCCTGAAGGACATAAGCTAGTTTTTGGGGAACTGAGTAAGAGGGATGGGCTGAAGGAGCTACACTGTTCAGAGTGTAACTTTTTACGATTAAAGATTACTTTGAAACTGCTACATAAAAACACAAAAATTGTGTATGTTAATGGGGGCAATGTTATGTTTTGATACATGTGTACATTGTCATGTTTAAACTAGGTTAAACAGTAGTCCCAAACATGTATCACTTCATTATGGTGAAAACCTTCAGAACCCTTCCTTCCATCTTTTGAGATGTGCAGTGCGTCATTGTTCTCTAGGGCCCACCCTCCCTCCTGACTGTGACTTAGTGCTCCCACTCTTCAGCTTTCCACCTGTCCTTCCGATGTCCTTTCTCCAGCCTGTGGGACCTGCACATCATTCTTACCCTCCGCAAGATTCACGCTCAGATTCTGCAGGAAGTGTGACCGGGCAGTCTTCATCTTTCTGTGCTGACTTATTTCACTTAACAACACCAGTCCATCCATGTTGCATACGCAGTTTCGTTAGTCTTCTCTGGCTGGATCGTTTTCCACTGTGGATGTAGATGTGCCACGTTTTCTCCCCAGTCTTCAGCCCACAGGCATTTTGGGTGTTTCCTGTACTGGGCTCTCACGGGCAGAGCTGCAGTGCAGCAGGTGGCTGTCACTGTGCCCCCTCCACGTGGCCGGAGTCCGTGTGTTCTGTCTTGTCTGTTGAACACCAGGTTCTCCTGGCTTTCTAGGTGCAGGTGAGATCTGCAGGGCAGGCGTAGGTGAGGTGGTGCCTGCACCTCAAAACTCCCTGCAGCGCTCCTTTTTCTGCCCTCCTCTCCCTCGCCACTGCAGACGCCCAGTGCTTGTCTCTTGGACCTTTCTTGGGTACTGTTCCGGGAACCGGCTCGCTCACTGTATCACGTGCCCCTCCCCATTGCTTCTCCCTCTCCCAGGCCTCACATGTCGCATTTGTGTTCTGCAAAACCAGTCACTGTTTTCCCCAGCAGTTTCCAATTTTTAAAGTGGTAGTTTAACTTACTGCTGTCTTCTTTGCTTTTACTTTTCCTTGTCCTTGTGAATTTCTCTCTTTTTCATTACTTTCCTGTTATTGTATCAGGTTTCTAGGAATAGAGATAAATAAATGTGTTTGGTTCACTTTTAACTGAAAGTGTTCTGATTTTTAAAAATTATTTTTCTTTTTTTGTGTCCTACTTTCAAGAATTCTAATTGCTTTTTCTAAAAGTTCTCTGATAACTCCCAGTTTTTAAGCACTCAATTTGCTTGTACTTTCTCTGCTCCAGCAATTTAAATGGAATGCTACAATTTAGATTATTTTCCAGATAAGATTTTGAAGACTCAGATATCGAAGAAAAAGAAAATAGTAATGTTTTGTGGTTTCTAATTAACTTTGTATCTTGATTTTCATTGATTAGGGGCCTTGTATCTTTTATTGGTTGTGGAGGTGAATTTAGGTAGGAGATCCTTTTTGGCCATGAGGCTCTGGGTAGGATTTAAACTTATATTCACACACAAATTGCATTACATATGTAACTATTGGACTCTAATTTGAATATAGATAGAAAGATACTTTTGTCTCTAAATTGATGTCAAGAGACCTGGTTTCAAATTCAGGCTTTATTACTTAGTAAGTACATCCTTAGGTAAGACACACTGTGGTGTAAAATAGGCTTTCTTAATTTGATAGTGTGTGTCTTGACATAATGTGGTTAAATTTGTGGTTGAGTAGAATTTATTTGCCCAATAGGTAGGTAGTATCTTACCTTGTAATTTTAACTGTCATCTAGCATGATTTTTAAATAATTTCATAAAATTATTAAATTACATCATATTCATTTAGTTTTTTTACACTGTTTGCATTGTTTTTCAGTCACTGTGTTATGAACTCTGTTGTACTCAGGTAATACTTAGTACTATGTTTTACATATCTGAGTTGCAAGATTTATGTATTAAAATGAGATGATTGATGATACTTGACATTAATACTTTATCACACTTTTTCTTTATAGTAAAGCCATTTGCAAATGAAGAAGAATATAAGAAAACTGAAGAAATAGTTAAAAAATTTAAAAATGGAATTGGAAGAAAACTGCAGCAGAAATTACTTCAAAGGGCAGAAGGAAAAAGAAATTGGGTATTTATTTTAGTATACTTATAATTAAAAAATTGATGCTATTTCAAGGAAGAAAATTAAAAATATACATAGCTCTCATTTCTAAATGATAGCTGCAAAGTCCTTGCAGTGATCATGGTCATCGTGATCATCCCAAAGAGTGAAGCACTGCCCTGGGGAGTTCTGCGTACATGGGCCTCTGTCTTCCCCAGGAGAAGGGAGATAAAGCGCACATTCGTGGGGTCTGTGGTTCTGATCACGGGGCTAAAAATCTATATTTAGCCCCTGCTCTGTGTGGTTCTAATGTAGGTGACCCAAGACCATGTTTGAGGGAAATGTTTCATCCAGGTGATGGTAGCCTGAAGAAACCCCAAATGCTAAAATATTTAGGTGGCATGGACATATTTAAACACTGCCTGGGAGAAAGGGGCTGTTACAGACTGGGGTGGAGACGGTTACGGCTGTCATGTGTTCCTGCTGGGGGAAGCTGCTGTGGTGATGTTTGGGCATCTCCGGTCAGCTACTTTCTTACTGCTGTAGTACGTGAAATAGAGGGTGAATTTTCATAATTGAAAAGCATTACTTGGTCTAGAAGTAGTGATGGTAACTGTGTTACCATTTTGGCCATGAAAGTTTTTATGATCTTTTTAATGAGCCATTTATATCTATGATGAAATAATGCAATTTTCCACTTTCACATTTCTTCTCAATTTTGAGTATTATATGATTTAAAGTGGTATAAAAATAAAGAAGTTATTGTTTTGCCTATATCTGTTTTGTTTATATCTTTTTCTGAATTACTATAGTTTATGAAATTAATTTCTTCATTTGAACATGAACTGCTTACTTAGGCATGAAATTCTGTTGCATATTATGAAAGAGGGACACTTACGAAGTAATGTCTGTGAAAAATCTAAATTAACTTTAGGCCTACTGCAAAGTTTTTGTATTTGTGATTTAGTGTTTCAGGTTTTTTTTTTATAATTATAATGCTTTAACTGTTATCATTAGATGAGAGATTAGTGTCTGTTGTACCAACATATACTTTGAGGAAACACCTAAATATTTTGTGGGTAGCTGTGATATTTAAGACCTTAGAAATATTTAAGACCTTAGAGTTATGGAAGGGAGGGAGGGAGGAGGAATAGGATCGGATCACAGTAGCATCTTTAAATATCTGTGATGATTTAAAACAAGAAAACGTGTTTTTGAATGTTGAATAAAAGCAGTGTAGCTTGCTTGCTTTCTTTATGCAGTTACACCTTCAGGCATTAAGAAGCACGCTTTCTTTCAGCTGGAAGAGTGGTGGCTGAATGTAGCCTACCTGGATGTTCGGATGCCGTCACAGCTGAATGTCAACTTTGCAGGTCCTTCACCCCATTTTGAGCACCACTGGCCTCCAAAGGAAGGTGTCCAGTTAGAAAGAGGAAGTATGATACTTTGGCATAACTTGAACTACTGGCAGCTATTGAGAAAGTAAGGACGCTTAATGTGGATTTAGTAATAGATTCACCTGACATCTCAGGTGGAGAGTGTTGAGAAGCTTGCTTTATTTATTTGGGAAAGAATAGTGCAGTTGTGATGGTGTGGTTTATGAGTTTCATAATGGCTTCTTGCTCAAAACTTTTCTTAACAGAGAAAAAATGCCTGTTCATAAAGTTGGAAATACTCCTCTAGATATGAATCAGTTCCGCATGCTGTTTTCTACCTGCAAGGTTCCTGGAATTACTAGAGATTTTATTATGAATTATTTCAGGACTGGTAAGTAAAAACAGTGTTTTTTTTGTTTTTGTTTTTTGTTTTTTAGTAAAGTCCCTGGGATGTGGGGTGTGGGTATTCTCATTGTGAATTCTACTATGACACTGTGGAACACAGTTTTGAAGAATGTTTCCTACAATCTTGACAAATCAGAGGCTTGCTCGGACTCTCGTGTGTGGTCCATTCTGATAGTCTGGAAAAACATGGGAATCGGTGCTGTAAGCTGCAGTGTGATTGGCTCAGCATGGACTGGATGTTTGCGTTAGATCTTTTGGGATTTCACAGTACTCAGCGGCAGAGTAGAATAGTGAATCAGAGCTGAGGCGGTCCCAAGTCATGTGGTCTGTGTGCTTCCCTTTCCACCCTCTTCCTTGCTGTCTGCCTGTCCCGAGTGCTCGCTGCTCTGTGTTGGTCATGCCCCTTTCTCCTTGTGAATGTTTTATTCTCTGTACTTGGGGGAAAGCTAGAGTCATGCTTCTTGGGGGCACATGAATGTAGATTGATTCATCAAATTTTGTTTTTACTGTCAGTTTCTGGAGCTTTCTGCTTGGTGTCCTAATATATCTTGCTTTTGTTTGATTGTTTGTTTTGGATACTGGGGATCGAACTTGGGCCCTTGGGCATGCAAGGCGGGCAGCAAATCCACTGAGCTAATCCCAATCTAACATATCTTGAAATGGAAAATTTTGCTATGGGAACTGCTACTTTCTGGCTACTTCAAGAATTTCTATGTTTTATGAATTTAATGACAGCTTATAATTACTGTAGAGTGTAATTGTGGATGAATGTCTCTCTTCCATCAGATTTTTAAAAGTTCTACTGACAGCCAGGGTCATAGTCCGAGGTGGTGTGAGTTTATCATACACTGCTCAGCTCCTCAGTGTACACCTCTCTGGGGCTGGAGATGCTTGATGTCCTCCAAGCCATGTGGTTTCCTCAGTGTTGCACATGAACGAACTAAAAGAAAAGATTAGGAAAATGGTCTTGTTTATGGCACAGAGTTTAATGCTCAGCTGTGAATGGAAAGGTGATAGGAGGTGGAGTAAGACCAGCGAAGAAAGGAAATATGCTTGTCAGTTAAGAAAATGCTGTCAGTAGACTTAGTTTTGAATTCAGTCTTTATTATTTAGATTATCCTTCCTTAAAGTAACTCATTTGAGTTACTGTGTAAAGTGGGGGCTCTTTGATACAGTGGCATAGGCTGTTGCTGTCGTGGTTGATACATCTTGGCCTTGTGGTTCTAGGAAGAGGCGAAGACAGAGATAAAGCTAAGGTAATGAGTAAACGTGAAGAATCTCAGAGGTACTGGTGAGTGCTGCATGGAGAACGCGAGAAGATGCACACCTCTGTTTATGCTTTGGATGCGATAGCCAGTGACGCCTCTGGAGCATGCGAACAAGATGAACCTGCACAGTTCTTTCACTTTGTGTTTCACTCCGTTTTGCTGTTGTTTCTGGTGTGTGTTGATGGCAGAATGCGCTGGCAGGAATGAATTTGGGACATTCACGGGACCATACAGGTGGAGCCATGCAGGCCAGAGGGAGGGGCAGCCTGAAAGGGCAGCTAGAGCTGGACCGCAGAGTGCTTCATAAACCAAAGTGCGGTTTTCGGCCTTTATTTGGAGGGTGATGTGGAGTTGTTGATGGGTGTTTGAGAAAGAGAGCGATGGGGTCAGACTAAGGTTCCTAAAAGATTGTTCTACCTGCTGTTTAGCGAGTGGAGTTTTAGAAGTAAGACAAGTTTAGAGACAATGAGATCAATTAGAAGGTTGTTTTAGCACTCTGCGTAAGTTATATAGTGGCTTGTACTAGGTGGTGGCGTGGAGGTGCTGGAAATTAGTCAGACCCTGGATATATGTTGGGTTTGGGGTTGCAAAATTAGTCTTAGATTTGTCAGGAGATAGAGAAAAATAGGAAGCAGAGGTGACATTAACACATTTGGCTTGTAGCTGAGCGTGGTAGTCGGCACCCATGGTCCAAGTTACTCCAGAAACTGAGGCAGAAGGATTGCATTATCCTGGGAATTTGAGGTCAGCCTGGGCAAGATTGAGAGATGCTAACTCAAAAAATATTTTTTTTCTTGAGCAGCTAACAAATAGGGTAGGTGACACATGAGTTCAAATGACCTAGCAGATTTGTGGATCATGTGTAGATTGATGAGGTGGAAAAGATTGAGAAACATTTGGGGAGGAAAAGTGAGAGAGAGATCCCTTAGACTATGTTGAATTTGAAATGCCTGATAGACCTTTAAGTGGAAGAATAAGTAGGCAGTTGGAGATAAAGTTTGGGATTCTGAGAAGTCAAAACTGGAACTGCAAATACAGATTAGGATTAATCACTAGCAGGCATCGAGATTATTTGTACAACCCTACGAGTATGTAAGATCACTTTGGAATGTGCAAATAAAGATGAGTGAAGAACCAGTACTGATCCTTACCACAAACCAATTCAGTATTTGCCTACTCAGCAGAGGAGTCATCCAAGCAAACCAAGGGAGGTGAGATGTACACAAAGACAAGCCCTCTCCTGGACTCCAGAGAAGGAGTTGGTCTATCCAGTGCTGCAGAGGGCAAAGGCAGTGAAACTGATCATTGGCTTTGTCAGCATGATGTGGCAAGTGGCTGCCCTGCTCAAGTGCAGTGTCAGTGAAAGCTGGTAAGGGAGCCCATTCAGAACAGAAAAGTCAATGAGTGAAGTGAAATTTGCAAATAATGCTAGCAAAAAACAAAAACCAAAAAACTTAATATGCAGTAGGAGATTTAAACTTTTGTTAAGAAGGTATTATAGGAATGATACAGTAGAGAGAAGGAGAATAATCTTGCAGAGGAGAAGATAATCAGCCAGTTATTGAGAAAAGAAGAGCTTAGAGGGTCAAAGGCAGAAGCAGTGAAAGGGTTGGTCTTTGCTAGAGAAAAGGAAGAGGGGATGGGAGGGAATACAGAAGGCCCACAGCGCATTTAGACAGACGAGCTAGTTTTGTTGTAGGAGATGAAGAGGGTGTGTGCATGGCCTGTCCTCAGTGAAGTGTGCTGGAAGCTTTGCGAATAAAGGTTTGGAATAGTCATCATTGGAAAAGGGAAAAGCATGCTTACTGCGGATGGCGGGGTTGCTGAGCAGTGCTGAGTGCCCCTGTGTTGGTCACCTTTCCTTTTCCAACACCCACAGCTTACAGGAGGAAACGTTTAATTTTGGTCACAGTTCGAAGATTCACTCCGTGGTTAGCTGTCTCCAACACAGAAACGTCATGGTGGAAGTCATGGCAGGGAAATGTGCTTGTCTCATAGCGGCCAGGAAGCAGGGAGAGAAGGGAGGAACCAGGAGGGATCCAGCCTCCAAAGACACGGCTCAGCCCTGCTTCTTTGAGCCACGCCCCACCCGCCAGCCCCACATTCAGCTTGCACTTCTCAGGGGATCAGTCAGCAGATGAGTGGAGACCTCATGATTCAGTGAACCTCCAGAGCTCACCTCTAAGCACCGGAGACTTTTAGGGGACATTTCAGATCCCAACCATCACAGCCCTTTGAGATAATGTGTTCATGAATTCCTAGGACTAGGAATGTAGCTCAGTGTTAGAGGTCTTGCCAAAGACTTTTGGTTCCATCTCCAGCACCATAAAAACTAAATAAAATTAGGATAGATGATGTATTTATTTTCTAGAGTAACATTCAGACTAGAGAAAGAGGAAGAGAAGGTAAAGATTTAAGGCTTTTGTAAAGGAGGAATTCTAATGTTGAGCCATAGAATTGATCTTCGATAATAAAATCGTAGAAACTGGGTTGGGGGCAGGGCTAGATGCCAGCTACTGGGGCTAAGAGCCTCATCTCAGTAAGAACTTAGAACTAAGTATGCTTTTAATCTTTTCCTACAAGGCCCTTGGCAAAGGGAGTAGTTCTTAAAAAGGGTCTGAGTCAGAGTGGCCTGAAGTTCACTACAGACATACAGTGCTTGGGAAGTTAAAGGGGTGCCAGGGAAATTGTACACTACATTATCAGTGACTTTCCAGATGTTGTCAGAGCTTCGTGTGCAACTCCAGACTGGGAAAAATTCTTTCCCCTTCTTTGCATGCATATAATGCCCTTTTGTACTGCGAATTGTTTTATTGAGAATCATTGCTAGACATTGCTGCAGTAAAATTATCCGATGAGCAGTCAACATAAAAATAAAGTCAGAGAAGTGTATTCTTTCCTACTGCTCTCCCTCAAGATTCCTCCAGGCCTCTTCATCCCTTCCCATTCCTGTCCTGAAATAAAACTGGGAAGCTCTGGAGTAGTTTGGGGTTTGTCTGTTCATGCTTAGAATGTGTAAGTGCTTGAAACTCTAGTGGATTTCTGGATGTCACGCTGACACCATTAATTTAAGGACTTTCATATTGAGTTTGTTTGTGAACTCATAAGTGACACCAGCACTGTTACATGTTAATGGTCCACCGGGCAGAGTTGTGTCCACGTGTTCACGTTGTACTAGTGCAGAGCTGCTGGCCCCCTCACGCTTCTGTCTTTCTGGTGACATCATTGGCAGTCTTTGTCCTAACTCTGGCCTGTGCCATCCCCGGGATTCATAGTCACCTGCTCTGCAGTGACCAGCATGCCACACCTCACCTCGATGATGGCACCTTGGGGCCCACACACAGACCTTTCCTCTGTCCCCTAAGGTTTTCGTCCTGTGACACAGTTGATGAATAAATGGTCATGACTGAAGACTAGTAATTCTGCGGGACTCCTCTTCTCTTTGGGTGTTTCAGCCTTGTGTTCTCCATTTTTTCTTAGAGAGCGAGGGGCATTCCCCAAGCCACGTTGTGGTGTTGTGCCGAGGCCGCGCATTTGTCTTCGATGCACTGCACGAAGGTCGTCTGATCTCGCCGCCGGAGCTGCTCAGGTTGTCACATGACTTTTGAGCCTTATTGGGTCTCAAGCTTTGGTTTAGGTTAAAAAACAAAGGTTCGGATTTACCTTTCTATAAAGGCCCAGAAAGCTGAAAAGTAAGACTTTTACACATTTATTTTTTTAACTCAATTTTATTTTTAACTTAATGTTTAATTTTACTAGGTGTACATAAATCTGTTCTACTTGGAGAAAAGGAAAGCAGTACAGATAAGACCAATCCCATTCCCTCCCCAGATTCTATCACTGCTGCTTGTTTTGTGTGTTCTGTCCTTATTGTGAATTCATGTACATGCACCATTTAAAACAAAAAACACACACATGTATCTACTGTGCGCATACATGTAGTAGTAGGTGTGTCTTTTTTGGAAATTATATATTACTATAGGCAAATTTATCTTTAGGTCTTTTGCTTTTGTGATTTGTATAATATTTGTGTGTGTTTGTTGAATTTTGTCCAAATTTCACATCATTATTAAATCAGGCATAGTAATCAGATTACTCAAAGCCCCTCTTGCAGAAATTGAACACTTGTGTTTGATTCATGGGCTCGTTTTAGTTCGTGACTTACTTGCTTTTGTGATTTGTATAATATTTGTGTGTGTTTGTTGAATTTTGTCCAAATTTCACATCATTATTAAATCAGGCATAGTAATCAGATTACTCAAAGCCCCTCTTGCAGAAATTGAACACTTGTGATTGATTCATGGGCTCGTTTTAGTTCGTGACTTACTTGCTTTTGTGATTTGTATAATATTTGTGTGTGTTTGTTGAATTTTGTCCAAATTTCACATCATTATTAAATCAGGCATAGTAATCAGATTACTCAAAGCCCCTCTTGCAGAAATTGAACACTTGTGATTGATTCATGGGCTCGTTTTAGTTCGTGACTTACTCTGTGATAATAGAGAATTTGAATCTCTGCTTAAAATCAGGAGAATTCATATACAAGGTTGGAATTGTGATTTCTTTAAAAAATGAAATTCTGATACCAGCCTGCCTTATGGTGCAGCAAGAGCAGGCTGGGCCTGGGTCCATGAAAGCCGCTGTTCGGCCAGTGCTCATTACACTGCCACCTTTTGTCTACTCACATTGGTTTACTCTGTCCTTCTTGCTTAATTTCAGTAGCAGAGAAATAGGTCCTTACTTCTGTCTGTGACAGAGGGGTGACGAGGATGCCAGTGTGGGCGTGGTGCAGGTGTGTCCCACTCCTCTCTTCGGTGCCCCATGGTGATCCCCCCATCTTCCAGGCGGGTGAGCTGTGGGAGTGGCCTCCACATCCCCTCCATCCTGTCTCAGAGGCACAGCCCTGTCCACTGAGCTCTTAGAGGTTCCTCATACGCACTCCATCTTCCATCTCCATGGTCCTTGTTCAGGTTGTCATTATTTCTCTGCTGAACTATTAATAGAAATTTCATTTTTCGCTCCATATATTCTTCACATTGCCATCAGTCTGTAATATTCCAATGTAATTGTATCTTCCCTTTGCTTGTAATTCCTACAGGGTTCCCTGTAGCCCATGATAAGTCCACGTTACTTAGCAGTGTCTAGATCTGACCCTGGCCCGTCTCTTCCACCTGCTCCCGCCCTTCCTCCTCCTTGTCCTGTGTTCCTACCCCATTGCTTGGTGTGCAGCACCAGCGAAATGAGAGATGTCCTTGAGTTTTGTGCATACTCACACTTTCTCTTTAGCCGGCAAGTTCATAGCTTCCAGCGTCTGTTCACATCACCACAAGGTCAGTGATCCTTTTTTCTCCAGCCACAAAGAGTTAAGACTCCTTTGGGCTCTTTGCATAATGTGTACTGAAATTACTTATTTCTGTGTTTTCACATCCAGATGGAGCTCTAGGAAGATTAATTACCAGGTCTTTTTGAATTTCCATTGCTTACTGTAGTACGTAGCACTCAATAGAATTTCACTGTGGATGGGTGTGTGTGCACATGTGTGTAAACTATACAAGTGTGTGTATGAACTGGGTGATCAAGCCATTATGAATTTTATCTAAAAATAAAAATACACAACATGTTAGAAGCATAAGCTAGACTGGTCACATTCAGAATCTTAGTGAGTTGGATATCGAAAGAAGTGTCTAAAAATCTAGTACAGTGATCTCGGAAAGAAGTAGAAGTTGGGACTTTAAGGAATAGGCCAGATGTAGGCCGGGATTTAGCTCAGTGGCATTGTGAATGCGTTTCAATCCCCAGTACCACAAAAAAAAAAAAAGCCAAATTTAGGCAGTGTTTTCGAGATATAATTAATAAGAAGAATTGAAGCTCTTGGATACTGTAGATAGCAGTTATGTGTTGTACATTTCAAAAATAAAAAAGGATTTTGAAAGTTTTTACCAGAAGGAATTGATACAGGCTTGAGGAGATAAATATGTTTAACTTGATTTAAATACTTCGCAATGTATACATGTGTTAAACATTGCATGGCACTCCACTAATTTGTACAAATTTCCTATTTTTGTGAATTGTTGAAAATAATAAGTAAATAAAATTAACAAGAATTATTGTCTAAATTAAGAAAGCAAGCAAGCATCACTGGCTTTTCCGTTTGCAGAACTGTAATAGTGTTGATAGCGCTGTAATAGGTAGAAGTAATGGAAGAGGAGGAAGGGTGATACTAGTTCTTAATGTTCCCTCCCACCCACCCACCCATCATCCTTTCTGCAGATTTTCTGGTCTCTCTACGGTTCACATTGGCCTTGAGCTCAGTGTGTAGTCCAGGCTGGCCTCAATCCCAAGTTCTGGGAGCTTCATCCTTGAGTGCCGAGATGACAAGCATGTACCATGTCTGGATTAATTTTCTTTTTTTTTAGTAATGGCTTTATTGATGCACAATTCATATATTGTACCATTTATCCATTTAAAGTATATGGTTAATGCTTTTCACTGTTTTCACACAATTATGTTCTACATTGAGTTTTTAGCAGTTTTGTCACCCTTAAAAACAACCCCACTCGTTCTCCCCATTGCTTCTCAGTCCTCCTGCTCCTCTTTACACTCCATGCGTCTCCCATACAGCCCAGCCACTAGCCCTAGGCATCCATGTCTGCTCTCTGTGTTTAAACTGGACTGCACTGAACATTTTTGTATAATGGGACCTTACGTGTGACCTCTTGTGTTTGGCTTCTTTTATTTAGTATGTTTTCATGGTTAGTGTGTGTCAGTGTGCTGTCCCTTTCTATGTCTGGGTGGCATGAGTGTCGAGTGGCTGAACCACGGTGACCACTCACCGTGAGGGGCGTGTGGGCTCTTGCTGCCTCTTGGCTCTTACGAGTAGCATTGGCTTACACATTGTGTGTAGGTCTCTGTGTGGACTGCCATTTTGCTCCTCATGAGTACACACCTGGGTGTGGATTGCTAGGTCATGTGGTAACTCCAGGACAACTGTTTGACAAACTGCAAGGCTTTCCCCAAAGTGGCGAAATCATACTACATTCCCGCCGGCATCATCAGAAGGTTCCAGTTTCTCTTCCCCTCACCAATGCTCGCCATTTCCCTTCTTGATCATAGCAAATGATGTTCAACATTTTCATATGCTTTTTTAGCCATTTGTATATGTCTTCCTTGGAGATACTTTGCACATTTTTAAATTGGTTCATTGTTACTGAGTTGTAGAAGTTCTTTATATATTTTGCATATAAGTCCTTAGCATATACATATACTCTGTAAGTACTCTTCTCTCATTCTGGGTTTGTCTTCTTACCTTCCTAATGGCTTCCTTTGAAGCACAAAAGTTTGAATTTTGATAAAGCTCGATCTTGTCTTTTTCTGTAGTTTCTTGTGATATTGGTGTCACATCTAAGAAACCATTGTCTAGTCCAGAGACATGAAGACTTAAACCTATGATTTCTGCTAACATTTTTGTGTTTTGTTCACAGGAAGAAGGGTAGATGACTTTTGAATGTACATTTAGTTTGAAATGTTGGCAGAAACTGAGGTAGAGATACTCAACCAGGACTTGGAACTTTGGTCATAGATTTGGAGAGAAAATGAGACTAAAATTAGAGATTTGATTGCCTCATACTAACAGTGATAGTGGAAGCTACTAAAGAAGTGGATGAGGTTACTACCAGTTCAGAAAGATCAGTGGCACAAATCTGAGAAAGGACACATCTACAGTGGAAGGAAGGCAGGTAGATGGTCAGAGAAGGCCACCCAGGGGTCAGTGAGGTGAGGGAGACCACAGTGGGATGGTGCTGCAGAAATGAGAACAAGTCAGATACTTCTGTGAACCGTTCCATACTGAGTACATGCGACTGAGAGCTACTAGGTTCCTCTGGGGGGTGTTAGGTGTGACACAAGTGCAGTTTGATGCTAATCATGGGGCTGGGTAACAGCTCAGTAGTAGAGGACATGCTTGCCTGTGTGAGCCCCAAAGTTAAACATAGCTCCTCACAATTGCCGGAGGACAAAAACTAGATTGCAGTCTAATAGCGAGTGGAAAGTTTTGAAGGCAAAAACATAATCACTTTAAAAAAAAGATAAGATACTGGAAATAAATACGTTGCTGTTGAGGTCATAACCTGCTTCTCTGGGGAGTGTGTGACATTGAATATGAGTCCACATGACCTGTGAAAGGCCAGTGTAACTCCCATCTCCCTGTGTGCTTTCCAAATCCTCTTTCTGATCTTCCTCAGACACCTGACGTACATCCACGAGAAGTGCCACCGAGAGCCCCCTGGCCCTGGAGTTGCTGCACTGACCACAGAGGAGAGAACCCTGTGGGCCAAGGTAGCAATCGGGCTCTTCCTAATAAACCTGTTCTCTGACAAACTGTGGAGATTTTCTGGACATACTGTATTTAGATTGTAGCATTTAATCATCATCTCCTTACCCTTAGGCACGAGAATATCTGATAAGTCTTGATCCAGAGAACTTGGGTTCATTAGAAAGAATTCAGAGCAGTTTATTCGTGTATTCCATGGAGGACAGCAGTGCTCATGTCACACCGGAAGATTACTCCCAGGTGACCATCTTGCTCTGTCTGTTGTCTCACAGGCTTTTCTGGAGGACTCTTGTATATATTGAACACAAGAGTTTTTTCTATTTTTTTATAGTCATGGTTTTAGAATTTTTCTCAGCTATAAATTATAAATGTATCAAACCAATGCCTACACACAGTGTTTTGGAAGTCATTGCCACACAGTCTGAGATAGTCTGTACCTGGTGTAAAGAAGGACAACTGTTGCTTGCATGTGATATGCCAGTGGGGCCTCCTGTGCACAGTGTCTGGGTGCACGAGCTTCCTTCCTTGCCTGTGACCATGCTTGTGTGCCTTGCTGGCTGGCAGAGTCTCTCCTCAGAATCTCTCCCTCGTGAGAAACCCATTAAACAGAGACTTCTGTGAGTTTCAGGGTCAGTGCTACCTTTTTTGTTGCCCTACCCCAGCCTAGTGTTTTCATTTCCTGGAAATAAAAGGCACGCATTGCATCAGCACCATATTCTTTTGAAAATACTTAGAATTATTTCCTGATGGATTCCTCATTGTAAATGATAGAGAAAAGAAGGGTTAAATTTTATAGCTGGAAAACAACCTTTTTAGCTGTGTTTTTTGCTGTGGGGGACAGACTGCTTCTTAAGGAAGAATATATTTTAACACAGAATTGCTTAAACTATTTAAACCTCACTGTTCTTAGAGATACAATTAGATTGTAGCTCATTATATACAAGGTTATAGAAACATACGGTGAATGTTTAAATTTTAAAAAACGTTACAATAAAAGGCACCTTGTCATTCATCACCTCAGAGCCCTCCCCCACTTCCCACACACTTATCTCGTCATCCTTGCTGCTCTCCAGAGCAGCTCTGGAGCCCTCTTTCCCGAGTGTCCTTACTTGTGCTGTCTTGGCTCCTTCAATGTCTTGAATTGATGCAAAGTGCTTACCTTCCATGGTCATTTTGGTTTTGGGGAAGAGCCAGAAGTCACTCAGTGCCAGATCCAGTGAATAGCTGGACAAGGACACAGCATCATGTTTTTGCAAGCCTGCCATTCTGTTGGATATGATACTCAGCAGCAGCACTCACCATAGTTTAGCGCACACCTTGTAAAGACATTAGGATTTCCAGAACTACTTTAGAAAGTGGCAAGAGTAAGTGTGTCCTGAGGGTTAATGGCAGTGTGTCTCTTAGTGTAATAGGTAATTTTTATGTAAACACTGTATATTTTCATTTCTCTTGGTGTACACACATAGTGTGCATGCATGCACATTCCATATTTAATAGACGTTTCATAAAACAAGTGCTTGTTTTCACTGTCGGTGATGATCTTTGCTCTTTGTATTCTCTTACTCTTTGTCAAGAGTGTTGATTTTGATATACTAAATTGATTTCATGAATCATTAATGGGCCAGAATGTAGTTTGACAAATGGGTTTAGTGAGATACAAATTCTAAAAGAAAATTACCTTTTAACTCTTTAGTGACTAAGCTTACCTAGGCCTCTTGTACTATTTAAGTTACAAAAGGCTTCTGTTTTCAGTTGCATCTTCTATAAATATTCATGGATAATGTACCAGATTTCTCTTTTCTGGTAAGATTTTTGTAGGTTGGAGAAATAACTAAAGTTGGGGCCAGCATTTTTATGTTTTGAGTATAACTATACTAACACTTTATTAATTTGGTTCACCCAAACAGAAAGAGTGAGACTGACATAAAATGTTTAAGATGTAAATACTTATACCAGTGTTAATGAGCCTGACCCCTGCATGCTTTTTTTACAGGGGTGGTGCTGGGGCTGGAAGCCAGGTGCCCTTTTAATGTGGAGAAATTCAATTTCTTTTAGATCCTTGCCATGGTCCTTACTGGAGATCCAACAGTACGCTGGGGTGACAAATCCTATAACTTGATTTCCTTTTCTAATGGAGTCTTTGGCTGTAATTGTGATGTAAGTAAAGTATTTAAGTTTGTTTCCTCTTCCTTTTAGGTTAACTTAATGGTGGTAGATCACAAATACTTAGGCTATGCTGTGCTACAGATAAGTAGGTACTGTTTTTTTAGCTTAATGGCATTATATATTGAGAAGTTCAGACAAAAATTCTCAAATACTTAGGCTATGCTGTGCTACAGATAAGTAGGTACTGTTTTTTTAGCTTAATGGCATTATATATTGAGAAGTTCAGTTACAAATTCTCAGTGCAAATAGAGCATAGGTCAAGTTTTTTTTTTTTTTTTTGTAGTAGGACCAGCAGTTTGTTGTATATCTGCTAAAAAAATTTATATCTGATTTTATATAGTGTAATTTATTAAAACCTACTATTATCCTCTTGCAAAGAACCACACCTATTTTAAAAGATACTATATGACATTTTTTTCTATGCATAAGGAAGTGTAAATGGATATATTTCTAGATTCCCTTAGCAATTGTGTAACAGTTTTCCTAAAATGACACATGACTTTGGGGTACTGTTTAGATGTCGGGTATTAAAATATCTGGCAATTAATATCAGTTTAGGTCTTTATGAAAAAATAAAAAAGAACTTTACCTATTTTCTTCTCCGTCTTCCCATGGTTTTTACTAGCTTTATCTTAGATTCGGGAGATCTATAAACCAAAAAAAGAAAACAGAAAAAATAGGAGTCATTGATTTTTTAAAAAATCAGTGGTCAGTTTTAAGTAATGGAAATTTAAATCAAATTGGCACAAGTTGAGGAAGGTATTTGTTGTCTTATGTATATACCCCAGTATGAGAAAGGCTGACTTTCTGTGTCCACATGCTTTGATTAGAAGTCTCTTTCCTGTTCAGTAGATGTCAATGTGATGTTGCCTGCAGTCTCATGTCTTCAGAGGTCTCTTAGTTTAGTGGCCCCTGTGGAAATAGCCAGCTTCCCTTTTTCCGGTAGTGCTGGCAATAATCCTGGAATGATTCTTTTTTTTTTTTTTTTTGTACCGGGGATTGAACTTGGGACCTTGTGCTTGCAAGGCAGGCGCCGAAATCACTGAGCTAAATCCCCTGCCCATCCTGGAATAATTCTTGTACCTGGCTGTGATTGGCCTGTATGACTCACCTGCCTGTCCTGGGAATCTGGTGCTCACCTTAGCCTGGCGCCAGGTCACATACCCAGGGTGTGGCCACTGCCTGAAGAACAGTAGATACTGTTGTTCCAGAAGTATGTGGACTGGTTGGTTGGTAGGCAGGTGCTAGGCTAGGTGTCTGTTAGAGCAGTTCCTTGGAGTGACTGGAAATGATGGCCCTGAATCATTCTGAAGATTGTTTTCCTTATCCTTCCTTTGAGTTCACTGTTGACAGAGGACCTCTTGATGGTTGCCTCAGTGTCTCTAAGCCATTTTCTGGCTCTCTGTGACCGTCCTCATTCTGGCTCCTGCCTGTCTTTTCTCTGAGAGGTACCCTCTGGGAGGTGGCTAGCAGCCCTGGCCTCTCCTGTCTGCTGCGGAGACTAACACCCTCAGCCTCCCCTTCTGCTTCTGGGAGAACAGTGACACTGATGCTGCTGTCTCAGGTAGGGTCGTGTCCACAGTGGCATCTGGGATTCTCTGAAGCTGTGAGATACGGTGAGAGCCTGGGCTGGCCAGGGCCCTGCAGCCTCCTCAGCTGCTCCTTGTTGATGATGGCCGCAGCTCACACATCTGGCACTGCCTCCCTCACAGTCCACCATGGGTGACTGCTTTGGTGCCATGGTGTGGATACAAGAGAAGTGTAACTCCCAGCCTGTGAGATGTCAGCTGTGCCCTGGAATCAAAGAATGAATTCCAAAGGACAGGAAATTAAAAGTGGGGAAGGTTTATTGAGGAAAAGGAGTAGCTCTTGAAAGTCAGGAGGGGTCCTGAGTGGGTGGCCGAGGCCCTTTGCCAGGGGTAATCAATACAGCAAAGTCACAGTGTGGGTAAAAGGTAGGTCAAACTAGTCAGCCAGTGAGACGTCAGTGTAGTCGCTTGGCTAATACTAACCCAGTAGGGAAGGGGGCACACAGCAGGGGCAGCTGATGTCAGCCTTGGCTCATCTGTGACCCTAGGGTCCTGAGTGCCCTCGGATGGTCTGCTGGCCCCTCTGCTTTTCAGCATCTCAGCACTGTGTGCACACACCCCTCTGACTTCTGGGAAACCAGCACTTCATTTCTGCAGTTGTTCATGTTCCCTTACACAATTAATTTCTCTGGTGGTTTGTGTTTCCTCACACACCCACCCCTGACCCCAGCAGCCCTAACAAGTGCCTCCAGCTTTGCGCAGTGTGTCTTTAACACCACGGGCCCTAGGATGGCAGTGTCCTTATTGTAGGAGATGAAGCATTTGAGGTTCTCTCTGTACCTTACATCTCTCACAAGGGAGGAAACAGCACATTGGCTCAGGTTTTAGTTTGACGGCTTTCTGAGCTCCTGTGTGCTGTTGCAGCATGCTCCTTACGATGCCATGGTCATGGTGAACGTCGCCCACTACGTGGATGAGAGGATTTTAGAGACAGAAGGAAAATGGAAGGTATGCAGAGCTTATACTTCTTTCCCTCTAACGTTTACATGGAGAAAATATTTTTAAGTCTTCTCTGTTTTCAGGGTTCAGAAAAAGTGCAAGATATACCACTTCCAGAGGAGCTCGTGTTTACTGTGGATGAGAAGATATTAAATGACATCAAGCAAGCGAAAGCCCAGTTTCTTCAAGAGGTAGACTTTTCACTTTTCTCTTAGGTGGCGATTGATACTTTCTCTTTCACCAGCCATATATGAAGATTTGGCTATCCCTCAAGTGTGTCTGTGGAAAACACTTTAGAATCACAGCTTCCGAACTTTAATTAACTTGTCTGATAATGAATCTAATGCAGTGGTGGTTCACGTGGGGTCCCCTGCGGGTGATCCTCACTGTCCTTGTTGCACTCTCTCTGATAGGCATCTGATCTGCAAGTCGTAGCACCCGCCTTCACCTCTTTCGGCAAAAAGCTGACCAAGAAGCAGTCGCTGCACCCCGACACATTCATTCAGCTTGCGCTGCAGCTGGCCTATTACAGACTCCATGGACGGTGAGGGCTGCTCCTTTCCGTGTTCACTCTCAGGCCCTGCGGCGTGTGTTTCCCCTAGCAGTTGAGCCTAATGCCCAGCATTTTCACTCTTTCCACTTGGCCACATTCATCTTCCCTTGACTGCGTTAGTGTTCCAGGCTGCTCTCCTCGTCATTTATCGCAGCATTCATGTGGTGCTTTTGACAAGTCTGCTGCCTTCTGAGAGTGGCTCTGCCTTGTAGAGCACTTGGTTCTCTCGCAACCTCAGTTTTCTGGTGGGCTTGTGAAAACTGGATTGTGTTGATGATTTAGCCTTTCCTCGTCTTTGGAAGAGGAGATCCACTGTGCTGTGACTTTCTACAGCCCAAGCAGGAGTGGGAGCCCCTTGGTCTTGCTTTTCTATCCAAGCTGGTATAAGTTTCAGACACTGAGGTTGTTTCCACCTTTTGACTTTTGTGAATAATGCTGCTGTGAAGTTCGCATACGAATACCTGTTTGAGTTCTGTTTTCAGTTCTTTTGAGAAGTGAAATTGCTGCTTTGTATGATAATTTTGTTTAACTTTTTGAGAATTGCTGAACTGCTTTCTGTATAGCTGGACCATTTTATATTCCCATCACCACTATACATTTGTTCCAGTCGCTTCGAGCTCTTGCCCACACTTAAAAAGGATGATCAAAAAATACGGTGAATATTTGAAGACAGTTTATTGCAGTGAAAAGCACTTTGCCACTAATCCTCCTCTGATACCCCTTTCACTTTGCACACATCCTCTTGTTCTTGCCACTTTCTGAAGCAGTTCTGGAGTCCTCTGTTGTGTCTTTATGAGATGTGATTAAAAAAATATGATAAGTGTTTCTGCCAAGTGCCATCCAACAGAAAAGCAAGCTTGTAAAAACACGATGCTGTGTCCCCATCCACCTTATTCACCAGATTTGGCATTGTGCGACTTCTGGCTCTCCCTCAGAATCAAAAAGACGTGAAAGATAAACATTTTGAACCAATTCAGGACATTGAGGCAACCATGACAGCACAACTAAAGACACTCAGGAAAGAGGGCTCCAGAGCTGCTGCAGAAAGTGGCCAGGACAATGAGGTGAGATTGAAATGAGGGGAAATATTTTGAAGATTAATAGCATTGTGCTTTTTACTGAGGTAAATGTTTTAAAAATTAAGTATTAACCGTATTTATAGGTCTTTGGTCCATTTGAGTTGATTTTTATGTATGGTATAAGGTATGGGTTTGTATTAGTCAAGACTCTCCAGAGAATAGAACAAATATACATATTGGGGGAGAGAGATTGATTGATTGATTGATTGATTGAGATGTGGTGGGAATTGGTTCATATGACCTTCGGGATGAGAAGTCTCCTGATCTGCCCTCGACTGGGAGGAAGAGGAAAGCTGGTGGTCTAATTGGGCCTGAGAATCCAGTGCAGTGGTGTGAGGGTGTGAGGAGTCTGACCTGGGAGGCCAAGAACAGGAGAATGGTGTCTGTTCCCACTGCTGCTTCCCTCCTCTGCCTCTGCTCCACCCGGGCCCTCAGCAGCCCAGGCGATACCTGGCACATTGGTGAGGGCTGCCTTCTGCAGAGCTCCTGCCTTCTGGAATCCGCCTCGAGGACACGCTCTGCAGCCTCCCTCCGGGCCAAGCCGACACTGACACGTGGAGCTGACCACCTGGGCCCAGCTCTGTGCTGGGTTCCCAGCTCAGCTGTCTTTGCACCTTCTTGAGAATCAATGGGTCAAAGGTGTGAGAGGTTTTGGGTTTTGCTTCTCTTCAGTTGTGTTTGCCGTTGTGTCAGGACTAGGCTGTATCCCTGGAGCTGTGTAGCCAGTTTGACTCCTGGAAGTGAGTCATTCACCTTTGTCTTTTGCCAGGTTGTTTGGCTTGTGGGGTCACTTCATATTCCTGCAGAGCTCGGAGCCAGGCAGCGATCAGAGGGTCTACACAGGCTGCTGTGGGCATGGCAGCCTTCAAAGCAGATGTGGTACCAGGCTCTCCTGTACTAGAAGTCCAATTTGGAGGTTTCAGTCTCTGAATAAAGCCAGCTGTACTGCTCACTGTATTTGTGTTGACTTTACATTTTCTTTGTGACACATTTTCTGTATTTTCATAGCCCTGGCTGTTGCTATGAGACAGCGATGACGAGATGTTTCTATCATGGCCGTACAGAAACGATGCGGTCATGCACCATGGAGGCCGTCAGGTGGTGCCAGTCCATGCAGGATGCTTCTGCCAGTGTGAGTATCTTGGAGGAGAAGCTCCCATCGGTTTAATTGTTCTCTGGGAACTCTGGGCCATTAAAATACTTGGAGAAATTTTGTTTTCTATTTTCCGAAGCACATACATGTTCATTTGCCAGTGAATTGTGCACTTGGAAAGACTAAGAAATAAAGATCTCAAAAGGAGAAAGGAAATAAACAGTAATTACACAAGGTGACAGGTCTGCTGCCTAGCTTGCTGTGGCGACTAGTTCACAGTGTACATGTTCACCTGAATATCAAGTTGTATACCTAAATATGCACAGTTTTTGTCAATAAAGCTGAAAAAACAACAACAAAAGAAACAGAGGACTGGAAAAAGGAACCTGTTGTGTCACTTTCTGAGCAGTGTCTTTGTACTTTGAGTCTTTGAACTTGGCTGATCTGCCTATAGGATGGATCTGCCCTTATCATGGACGGGAAGCTTGTTTTCATAAAGCTGAACTTTTCTGAAATCAAAGATTCTGGTTCTCTGTGAAATCACTAGGGCCAGCCCAGGTGTGTATGTTTTGCTTTGTGATTTTTGAAGTATTTAGACAACAGTATATTTCTTGCCTACTGTTGTAGGAAAAACTTGTCATGTGCATTTTATTTTCACATTATTATTTTTGTAGTTATGATTTAGCCTTGAGATCCCAGTTGTCTCTCATCATATTTGTCCCTGTCACTTCAGCACTGCTTACATGTTCTTATTTTCCTTTTCCAGAAAAGAAACAACCAGAAAGCAGGCACATAGGGAAGGGAAGGCAGTAGGAGAATTGAAGAAAGACATAGTAGCATGTGCTGCAGGTTCCTGGAAACCTTTCTTCTCTCAAGTCCTAGTTACAATGAACTTAGGTTCTTTTTGTTTAGTTGGGTTTTAAGCAGTTTGTTGTTAGAACTTAGTTTTTATTTTTTTCTTTTCTCTTCTTTTCTTTTTTGTTTTTTTGGTACTAGGGATCAAACTCAGGACCTTGTGCTTGCAGGGCAGCCAGGGGCAGCACTGAGCTAAATCCTCAGCCCCGTGAACTTGGTTTCTTGATATTTATTGAAATTTGATCATCTTGCTTTTTAACAGCTTTTTGAGCAACAGCAGAAGATGCTGCAGGCTTTTGCAAAGCATAATAAACTGATGAACGAATGTTCTGCTGGGAAAGGTATATATGCTGGAATTATTCTGACTTTGAAAGAATCATGCTGAGAATTTCTTCTGACTTCAGCTTTGGGGTTTTATTGCAGGGTTTGACCGTCACCTTTTAGGTCTTTTACTCATAGCAAAGGAGGAAGGTCTCCCTGTCCCTGAGCTCTTCGTGGACCCGCTGTTCTCCAGAAGGTAACGCATGTAGTGCTTTACACTTGTGTCAGTACTGGAAGTGCTTCAGAAACAATGTAAGCCTCTGTAGGCCCGGAATGATACCTTTCTTTGTGCCCTGCAGTGGAGGAGGTGGGAATTTTGTTCTCTCGACAAGTCTGGTTGGTTATTTACGAATTCAGGGAGTGGTGGTTCCCATGGTGCACAACGGATATGGATTTTTCTACCACATCCGAGACGACAGGTGAGGCTGCTCCCTTGTTCTTACTAGGTACCACCTTTGTTGTCTGAATGCTTTTCTACACTGTGATTCTAATTATGTTGTCGTCTGTCACTTGCTATGTAAATAACTCGTTGCCACTTAGACATTTAATATGTACTCACATTTGTCTTTCAGGCTTTTGAGACACTTGTGAAATCAGTCCTTCAGAAGTTTTATAAATGGTCAAACACTACAGAGAATGTTTAAATGTTTAAAAACTGTATTCCAGTAAGGGACACATTTCCACGAGTCCCCGCAGAATCCTCCCCCCGCTTCACACACACTCATCCTGTCCTTCCTTCCACTTTCCGAAACAGCTCTGAAGTCCTCTTTCCTGAGTGTCCTTAGTTGCACCAGTGTGGTTGCCTCGATGTCCCGAATCAGTAGACAACATTTACCTTTAATGGTCATTTTGACTTTGGGGAAGAGCCAGAGGTCGATTGTGCCAGACTGTGCGAATAAGGTGGCTGAGAGCACACTGTCATGTTTTTACCGCCCGCCCTTCCCTTGGATGGCGCCAGCCAGCAGCATTCACCCTATTTTGACAACACCTTCTCAATGCCCTCAGGAAGGAGGGCTCCCAGACTGCTTCAGAATGTGGCAAGCACCATGGATGAGTGTGATCAAAGCAAGGGGCAGGAGATCAGGGAGATCAATGGCGATGTGTCTCTTGAATTTAAACATTTGTGTGTATTGGGATCCTCCTTGGTGTTTGGTCCGTACAAGACACTTCATGGCTAAGTTCAGATAAGCTTTGTAAATATGTCCAACACTCCGTGTCCATGGGCTCTGCGTGTGCAGATTGAAGAGCATAACGACGGAGAAATTAGAATGAGAAGTACATGACGTGTTTCAGTTAAATACAGTGTTTTTAATACTTTCCTTTTAAAAAGATTTTATCGTGCGTTTCACTATTTCAGAATCATCAACTCCCAAGATGGTATGATTAGTGCACGGTGAGCTGTGCCAGTGAATTGTGCCTTCCCATAGTGTTCAGTTTGTGCCCATTAATGTACAAATTAAAGGTTAAATGGTAAAGGCTGGATAAGAGTCTTCTTTTCATATATCAGGCAGAAGTCTAAGATCATCCTTATGGAACATAAAGGAGCGTTCTCACACTTCCTGAAAAGCAGTGGCTTCTGTGTTGTGTGCAGTGACTGAGTTCCAGCCACACACACCTCAGTACTCTGGCCTACAGGAAAGTCCATCCCTAAAGATCTGGGCAGCTCCACTCACTTGTTCAGAAATCCTCAGTGTGGACTCGGTGCACAGGGTGTCGCTTTAGGGCTTTAGGTGCAAAGGATGAAAGACAGACAAGATCTCCTCTCCTACAGATCGTGTTTTGTACTAGAAATAAAAGGCAGACATGGGCTGGGGATTTGGCTCAGTGGTTTTGCTGCCTGCCTCGACCCTGAACAGTGAGACAGGCTGTGGAGAAGTAGACTGGTTGCCTTGTGACAGAGGTAGTCCGGTGAGCGGTGCTGGTCCAGGGTGGACAGGGGCAGGCTGGGAGGAGCGAGGACAAAGCTGTGACGTTAGAGAACTAACCCCACCGCTAGACAAGAAGGCGGCTCTGACTGCTGCCGCTGTCCAGCCAAGCCAGCACCCTCTCCCTTCCCTCTTAGGCCTTCACAGCAGGGTCCTTCCCTCCAGACCTCTCTACGGATGATGCCCTGGTGTGCCTTCTGAAAACTCCTGAAGGGATGTCACTCTTCTGAGCCCCTCAGCACCTTCCCATTTCACAGCAAAATGAAGTTGTCCTGTGAGACCCTGTGCACTCGAGCTCTGGTCGCCTTTATGACTTACAGCCTTTCCCTCCGCTCTGCTCTGGCCTCAGTGGGCACTGTCGGCCTTGAGTGTTGTGAGCAAGCCTCCTCTAAGGGCATTGCAGCAAGGATTCCTCTGCCTGGTCTTCCTTGGAGACATGTGCAGGGGCCACCACCTTACCTTGCACAGGTGTCTGTACAAAAGCCACTCCTCCGAGAAGCTCTCCATGACCCTCTGGAATAGCGCTTCTCTTCCCTCCCTACACCTGAGGCTTTTCTTTATAGCACTGATAACTGCCGTGTGTGTGTGTGTGTGTGTGTGTGTGTGTGTGCACGCGCGCGCGTGCATGTACATTTAGTGCATTATCTGTCTTCCCTCCCTTGGATATAAATAAGCTGCATGGAATCAGGTTTGTTATGTCCCCAACTGTAACAGAGCCTTGTACGAATGTTGTACTCAGTAAATGGTTTCGGAATAACTTTGTTAAGAGAAGTGTGCAGGTCCAGGGGTAGGTAAGACATTGGTACTCATAAGGAGGCAGGGAGGCAGGAGAGCTGTCACTAGCAATCGAGGGGAGCATGACAGAGGAGTCTGGACTGTTGTTGGCCCCAAGTGCACATCAGAATCACCTGGAGAGCTTAAAAGAAAAACAACCACCAAAAAAACCATCCTGAAGACACTGTTTTGGTTGCTGTGGTAAATTTAAATAGAACTTTGTGACATGGAAAGGAGTTTGGATTTTCTGCTAGGAATTATGGGACTCATTTTGCATGTTTTAAGCCCAAAAATGACTTGTTTTACTTATGTGTAAGGGAGCCTGGGCTGCTCCATGGGTATAAATCAGATGTACAGAAATGTAGTTGAAATAGATAAGAGAAATAAGGAAGTGTCTTAGTCCACTTGCTGACAGACTGAAGCTGGTTACTATATATAGGGAAGAGGGTGACTTTGACTTGCTGATCGAGCAGCTCATTTGTTGACAACTTGTAATAGAGCAAGTGGGCAAAAAGCAAGATGCAAAACATGAAGGGCAGCTCCGATATCACAGCCCACCCTGTTTTGTCTCCTTTGATGGGTGCCAGAGGGCAGCATCAGCCCCTCCTGAGGTCCTAGTCTCTTCTTAAGGTCCCAGTCCTTCCAATACAGTCACATGGGACCACACTCCTGGCCTAATTTGGAGGGCAGATCGCATCCAGCCGTGGCAGGAAGGAGGATGGTGTCTCTTGGCAGGGCTGCTGACGGTTGTGGAATTGGAGCCAGTAGGGCTTCCTGAGGGATTGTGAGTTCCATGGTGCATTCCCTGGGTGAAGAGACGAGGGGAACCCGTCTGAAGCAGGTAGAGGGAAGCAACCACGATCTGTGTGGTGTGCAGAGGAGCTCATGGTCCTTCCCAGAAAGGCTGTTTCCTTAGGAGGCTGGGTGGGCAGTTTTTTGTCTTCTCGCCCAGCAGGTGCGTGTTTGTGAGCCATCACTACAGACTACCACGATAGTTTCCAAACAGAACACCTGGAAACTATGGAAGGTTTGTCTTTTTCCTTCCATCATTACACTTGAAAATTGTGTGACTAAAAGAAAATTTCTTTTTAAGCAGCATTTTAAATGTAATATCATTGTAAAAATTTTATAAAATATGAAAAAAAAACAACAGGAAAAGTTAGCTCCCTGTCCACTCAGGAACAAGACAATTATTGTATAATTCTTCCAGTTGGTAATATATATAGATTGTGTGTGTGTGATCTTTAAATACTAATTTTGTGTCCTTTTTGTGATTTCTTTCTCACTATTTCAAGCAGTTCCAAATGCCATTAACTATGCTTTGAGATATTTTCAAGGTTGAATAATTTCCAGTCTTCCATGAGATAAATCCCCATAACTTACCTAACTACTTCTCTGTCATTGCAAATAGTGTATCACGTAATAAATGCATCCTTTCTCATTTCTTCATGTCATTCCCACCTGTAGGCTTTATAAAATATTTTTATTAATGTGCTAGGCAAAGGTAATTTCTTTATTCATTAAGTGAAATATTTTTATTGTTTATTGGCACTGTTTATTTTGTGAATAGTCTGTGCAAGTAGGAAAGATGGTTTATGTAATTTAGAAAAACAGCTGAATTTTAAAAAATTTAACACTTAAACAGAAGTTGTTAATCTGTGGAAACATTTAGATGCTGCCTAAATATTTGCAAATATCATGCACACTGCAGCTGGAAACTTGATGACAGCTCCCTGGATAGAAACCAGGCAGGACTTCTGCAGGGCTCTGTGTGATCGAGCACTCCCCACATATACACAGCGACCTGGGTTTCATTGCGCTGCGCTGGCCCCGAGCAGGGTTTCATCGATTCTGCTTATTCTGAAGCCCATGTTGAAGATATGATTTGCTGTATTTTTCAGTGATGTGGGGATCGCATGTCTGACCAGTGGTATTACCCTGCATGTTTTGCTTCTGAGCTCTTCACCTGTACTTCATCAAAGCTGAGTGCCTGGAAAGGGCAAGGCTGGTTTCACACGAACTAGGAGCCAAGTTTTCTCCTCTGGGGTACTAGAAGCAGGTTTTTCTCCTGTTCTTCCAGTTCTTTTTTTTCAGTACTGGGGATTAAACTTGGGTCTTTGCACTTGCGAAGCAGCTGCTTGAACCACTGAGCTAAATCCCCAGCCCCTGTTCTTCCATTTCTTGGTCAACATCTCACTGGCTAGACCTGAGCTCCCTCCATGGAGAAAGCTGGGAAGAGATGGTGGAGGGTGTGGCTTGGTCCCAAATGACCTTTTTTCTTTGCTTCTTTAGGAAATAGCTTTTCTCACCTCTTAACAGTTTCTAGTTTTTGTTTTTTTGTTTCTTTTAGAATGCTGTTCATGCTGTACTCTTTCCTCAAAACCAGTTCAAATTTCATTGTACAGAGTAACATAGATTCACATTCCTGCCCATTCCAGTGATATTCTTTAGGAAGAAGGATTCAGATTGTTTTCTTTTGAACATGAAACCTTCCTCCAGAGCGCTCTTGGGCTCTAGTTTTTTTATTTTGGTGTCTTAGGGGTACTGTCTAATAGATTACAGGTTCTCTGGCATCACCTACAAGTACAGCTTTGTCTTTCAGTTGGTTTATGTCGCATGTGTCTGACATCAGCAGAACCTCACATCTGACCTGTCTACAGTGATCTGGAGTGAAGGTCCCAGCTCTGTCCCGTAATCACTCGCAATTTGTGCTTCACAGGTTCATTGTGGCCTGCTCAGCCTGGAAGTCTTGTCTGGAGACTGATGCGGAAAAGCTTGTTGAGCAGATTTTTCGTGCTTTCCATGACATGATGCGGCTGATGAACACTGCTCATCTTTAGGGACTTGGCACTTGGCAAAATGGCCATGAAGGGAGGAAAGGGATGTTGACTGAAAGGAAAATTAATAGATGTAGAAATCAGTACAATCATGCTCTCTAAATTTATTCTGCATAGAAGGTGGAATACTTCCAAGCTTTCACTAATGGAACAGCAACGAGAATTAAGTGAATATACAACTATGCAATGTTTAAGGCTCATCAGTGCAAATCTATACATTTTAACAATGCAAATATTACTTTAACTTTTAACATTGTTGGTACTCATGTTATAAGTCCTTTTTCTGAAAATTGCTGTAGAGTTCATCTTTTGAGCACTTTAACATTTTGTAATTGCCAAAGGGTACAAAGTATATGACTAGATGTTGGTTTCCCTAAATCCATGCCCTCCATCCTCCCCATAGGGGTCTGAGTGGATCATGCTTTTGGGAAAAACCCACTGCAATTCACTGGTGATCTGAAACAGCTTCTCTTGAACAGATAGAATTAGGTTCCAGTAGGAAGATCCACAATCTTAACTGCATTGTACTTAGTTTTGTGAATATAAAAATAGAGCATTTAGGGCCAGGGGCGTAGCTCAGTGGCACCATGCCTGCCTGGCACACCAAGGTCCTGAGTTTGATCCCTGGTACCAGAAAACAACAACAACAACAAAAAAACAAACAAACAAGCATCTATATTTAAAATTAAACACTACTGGTTAGTGGCTTAATGGTTAAATATTTAGTTGAATCAGTCTGAGGATTTTACGGTTTGTTTTCCTCCTTACTGTTGAATGTTACAGTTTCTGCTGTGAAAACGTCAATCATATAGTTTCTTGTTTTCTGTTTGAATAAATGACTCATTGCTCTTTGCTTTCTTTGCTGTACTTCCTCGTCCCAGGTGTCTGTTGCTGTGCAGTTCACCACTCATGTGGCTTGGAGTCAGTACTTGTTTACATGCCTGAGGCCCTGAGTACCATTCCCAGCCCTGCAAACTAAGCAGAGCCAGGGTCTGATAACAGCTTTCCCTTCTTGGCAGTTTTATCAGTTGGCTGTACTCAGACAGTTCTTGTGCTGGCCTTGCCTTGGTTTATTTATATAATCCTCAGGCTGCTGGGCTGAGGCTGAGGACTCAGTGGCCAGGACTCTCCCCTGTGGTCTGTGTTCATTGTGTACTCAAGCCTGGGCATCTAAACGCCCTGAGAGTGTTCCGAGAGGTAGAGGTCAAAATTGTGCTGTTCCATAGAGTCTGAAGTCACATGTCATCTTGTCATTTCTGCTAAATTCTATTGGGGAAATCCAGACCGAAAGGGTGTCAGCTCTTAATGAGAGGAACAAAGTTATTTTGTTAAGCGTGGGCAGAAGGTGTGATTTACTGGGGGCCATTTTCACAGGATTTTAAGACAGGTTGCAGTGTACTTAGTGTTCTGGTTATATGCATTCCCCTTTAAGCATTCTTAAACACTCTGACTTTCACGAGACTGGTTTGTAGAATCCAGTTATCATTATAGTAACTGACACTCAAACCCAGTGCACCAGGCCAGACTCTCCTGAGAAGTACTGGACAGGGACTCCTCCTTTGAGAAAATACTCAGAGCTGGCTCCTGTGGCTTTTGATAGATCTCTCAGTCACTGTAGATGGTAGATGAAGTCTGAACTTTCTCCTCCCTGGTGCAGTGTGTAGATTGGATAGCCAGGGTTGTTAGAATCATCTGATTGGTTTAAATAATATTTAGGAGTTGGGTATATGAGCGCTGTCTCTCTGGCGTAGAAGCCTGTTCACTCAAGCCTTAACCTGTTCCCTTAACTTGCTTGAAGTTAATGTGCTGGGTGGCTCTCTAAAAATAGATTCCTACGCCTCAGTCCAGACCTGATGAGTTGAGATTTTCAGCCCTCATGCAGCATGGGAACGATCACAGGAGTAGGTTGAACCCTGTTCACTTTGATCCCTGCAATAACACATATTGCCTGCCTGTTGTAGAATCTGAAATTCAGTTCATTTACATACGTGGTTACCTTTGAAGGGTCCTTTGATAGTATCTGGTTTATGACTGATAAAAAGGTGGTAGTTTACTGAGCTAATCAATCAGTTACAGCAATAAGAACTGATATTGCTGTGGAAAATTATGAAAAAAGCATTGAGGTGTGATGAATCCACTGACGAGCAGAGCTTCCAGTCAGCTTCCAAACACAGGAGACCTTGTGGGGTGCATTCTAGACCTAACCATAACAGGCGAGGAGGAAACTGGAGGAGTCCTGATTGTGGTCTGCAGAGATGCTGGGTCTCTGGCTCTGCCACCACATGCGCTATGCCCAGAGTTACTCATTGTAGCCAGAGAAGCAGAGGAGACTGCCAAACACGCCCTCCTGGAAATAGAGCCAACACTGCCTGAAAGACCAACACCCAAGGCACCTTCATGGTATAGCTGCTTACTGCGCCACTGATCACAGTGGAGATAGCCAGTTGAGATATGCAAATGTCAACACAGAGATGGGAAATCTGAACAGCCTGTGTGTTAACTTCCATTCCTGTGACAAAACACCTGACATTCAGATTAGAGGAGGCAAGGTTTACCTTGGCTCATAGTCCATGGTCAGTTGCCTCCCTTTAGGCCTGCAACAAGGCAGAAGCATCATAATAAATGGCTTGGTGGAGGAAAGCTGCTTATCTCATGACAACCAGGAGGAAGCGAGAAAGGGAAAGCCAGAGTGGAAGGGGACAGGGAGCAAATGTCCCCGAGGTGACATCCCCACGATCCACTCCCTCCACCTCCTGTTCCCGTCACCACAAATAAAGCCATCAAATTCCGCGGTTAAATCCCTCATGATCCAGTCACTTCTGTACATTGTTGCATTGGAAATCAAGTCCTCAGTACCCGAGATTTTGGGGGGTCTTTCATATTTAAATCATAATACAAGGCAAAAAAAATATAACCTCCAAAAAATATAACGCTCTAGCAACAGAGCCTGAAGAAGTTGATATGGATGCAATGTTTGATGGAGCATTTAAAAAATGGTAATGAAAAGGCTCAGATTGTGAAGAGGATACCTGCAATTAAAAGAATTGGGAAGATAATGCAGGGTATGAATGAGAAATTTGACAGAGGTATTTTGAAAAAGAACCAGAAAGAGATCTTGGGAAAAATCAATACAGTTGAAAGCTTCAACAGC